AAACATAATTTGGCATGCTGTCGATGTCCTTCACTACGACTAGCCAAATGTGACATCAATGAGTTGACCAATTGATATAGCACTGCTTTCAATGTTGTATGAATGATACTAATTACAATTATGCATTTGAAAAATGTGAGAAAGAGAAAGAGAGAAGAAGAAGGAAGATCAAATTACACTACAAAATTGATATGATATTATTTCAGTGTGCTTGTTGTCTTTGTCGATTGGGCGAACTTGGCTCGAAGTTATACTACAAACAGAGTATGATATTATGTGCTCGAGATTATTTACGATTATTTGGCTTAACGGGTACTTGTGCCGCATGTGACAAAAATATTCCGGCATTTGAACTTGTCATGCGTGCCAAAGATAATGTTTATCATTTACGATGCTTTGCATGTCAAGTTTGCAATCAACGGTAATTTTTTCTATTTTAATTGTAATAATTTTCCGGAAAGTAAAAATTTGGCAAAAAAAAAAAGACTAGGAGAAATTCTCTGAATAATTTTCCGGAAAGATTTGCAAAATAATTTCTGTAATTTAAACAATTATAAGGTAACAATAAATTTTGAAAATTTTTTATTACTTAGGTTTTGCATTGGTGATAAATTTTATCTATGCGAGAACAAAATTCTTTGCCAATATGATTTCGAAGAGCGTATGACATTCCATCAGGCTGCATATAACAATAAAAGTTTAACCGAACTTACCAAAAATATCGAACAATTGGAGAATTTCGAACCGGTTTTAATTTTCAGAATTAAAATTTTAAATTTTTTAAAAAGTGTGAAAAATCCTAAATTTAATTTGACTAATTTAATAAAATAAATTAACTTAAATTTAAATTGAAAAACTTTTTGTTTCTTTCATTAGATTACAATAACATTGATGAAATTTCAAATTTCAAAAAAATTTTAAATTTCAGCTTGAGGCAAATATAGTTGGTTCATAGTTTCCAACTATCCTTTCAACAATAGTCGCATTATATTAGTTATTCGATAATCACATTTGCTTTCTACAATTGAAATTAGAATTTATCAATTCAAGAACAATTGAAATGTTGAAGCAACGCTATATGATTGATGATCCTAAAATAACACTGGTTGTAATTTGATTGAAATTATAAGAAAGAAAAACTATTTAATTTCTTTGTCACATATTACACATAGCCTCAAATTTTCAAATTAATACTTTCTGCCGTTGAAAATTGAACCATATATTGTTAGTTAAGAAATGATCAAAAAGAATGATTCGAAAAGATTTTCACGCATTATTTATTTTCCATAAATTTTAAGCTTTACCATTCTTTCATCCAATCATAATATCAACGATATGTAATTAATTATCGTAACTTTCTTTTTTATTATTAATTAGTTAAATTCATTAATTTACCTAAATTCATCTTTTTTTTTCATTGATTTTTTACTAACGAAAATGAATTTTAAATTATGTAATTAAGAATTATTTTTTCCTACTCAATAAAAATGGAATTTAAACTAATTCGAATTTAAAAAATGAATGAGAATCTTTTCATTTTAACCTCTAATAGTAGTAATTGCAGTAAATATTCTTATTAAATTCCTGAAATCATATAATATCACTGCAAATGTATACCTAAAATTTATGTATGTTCTCGGATAAATTTTATGAAATGAAGAAAGGAGACATTACAAAACAAAACATTACAGCTTACTTAACAGCCATCATCATGTATGATACTTTGAAGAAAATGAATTTAGAATTCTGTTATAATTGTATATTTATTTATATAAATAAATAAGGGTAATATATATGTTATACATCATCACATTTGCATATTTAGGAAAAATAATATGTAAAATTAAAAATGCTAAATTAAAATTCCGAATGATTAATTAGTTAAAATGGTTCATGTACTACACCAAGAATATATTTCAATTAAGGTTTTCCGTAGAAACAAAAAAAAAACAGCACTGTTCCGGTCATAATCAACTGTATTGATTTTCCTTCAACTAATTCTCTTGTACGCTTACAATAAATTTGATACCAGTTATGCTATTAATTCAATTAAATTAGAACAATTGATTTTTGATGTATAAAAAAGTGGCATATATAAAACAAAATTCATTCTAAACGTTAATTAATAAGTTAATTCAATACTGCTCTTTTTTTGAAAATTACTTTCTAAATTTATTGATTGTTCCTATGTTTATTTGAATCTAACATAATCTATTAATTCTTTGTTTCAATTTAATTAACGAATAATGAAAAAATGTGATAAATATATGTCTCGTAATTATCGCTCAAAATTAAAATTTTATTTAATCCATTTCTAAACATTTATCCGAATTTATCATATCATCTTAAATTATTTTTTAATAGCTTGTTAACTTTCTAATATTATTTCGAATAATTTGAAAGAAATATAAATTTAAATTAAAAATTTATTTATTCATTTAGAATAAAATTTCATTAGTAATAATCATTCTTAGCAGAATTCATTAAGAATAATTCATTTAGAATAAAATTTCATTTATAATAATCATTCCAAGCATTCTTAATTAAATATGCCTAGTATGATGTATGTTATATATGCTGTAAACAGTATAGCTTATGAATAATGATGAAATTATTTTAATACATCCAAATATGATTTCGATGAATCATTCACATAAATTGATCACTATCAAAACAATAATCTTTTTTTTATCATTTCGTTCATATTTGTTATTTACTTAGATTTTTGGGAATTCATTATCAAATTCAAATGAACTTTACGAAAGTATTCATTAAGAGGAATTCATTTTGCGAAAATTTGTTATCAAATTAGAAAGTACTTAATATTTGAAATTGATTTTTTGCTGATATGTATATCTTTTTAACAATGATAAGCAAGCGTTTTCGTTATGATCTCATCATTGTAAAATACAATAAGAGGAAAAATAACTTCAAAAAAACTGATAACTTATTCCTTTATTATATTACTGATAAATTTGACAATCTAAATTAAATTTTGCATCTAATTATTGTGTAAAATATTGAAAGTAATTTTTGGATGCCAAATCTGAAGTTTTGATTTTAATTCCAAGACAAAATTTAACGTTAAAATCTAATTTACTGAAACGCTAAAAGATGAAAATTCGACCTTTGATTTTTTTAAGTTCAATCTTGTAATTTCATTCAATTTAGAGGATTGTTACTAAATACTTTAATACCTTATTGGATAAATTATTTTATACTTCATTCTCATATTTCAGAATATTTCATTGATGCATAAATGAACTGTTTAAGTAAGGAATTCGATTGTTCAACCTTATCTCCCAGATATTCCGATACCTTAACTGCAGAATGATGAAAATTACTGCAACTTCCTACCTTTGTAAGAATATTACAAGTATTGGGGTACAGCCATGAAATACTGTCACAAATTATTATATTCCTATTTGAACAGTATTTATAGCAATCACTTATACTCGTATATTATTTGTTACTTTATACATTATCGCTCTAAAGTTAGCAACAATTCTTTTAAAAGCACTACTCTTATTTACTCTTACTTTTTTTTTAATAATAATAAACTTCGGATCGCTTTAGTGTATTTACTGATATCATCCCTTAAGGTACCGATAAAGTTTGCGATAAAAAAATCCTTTTTTTACTTACTAGATTTCTCCTACCTGCACTTTTCCATCTTTCAAAAATCTTTGATAACAAGCAAATTAATTACTTAATAAAACCTATCTTCCGCCACTAGAATTTTCGCACAATTAAACTCTTTTTTCCGATTTCATCTGATGTTGCTGTAAAACATATAACGAAAATCCTTATTTGGATATGTCATACATAAAAATATTAAGCTTTATAGATCGAAATAAATAAAAACAACAGTAAAATACCACCATTCTCTCAGATATATCATTTTCATTCGTACAAGCATTGGGACTGTACTTTTCGGTTTTTTCAACATGAAATATTGCTTACATTTATTTGCTATAAATATATGAAACTTAATAAATATGACAACTTAATAAATGCATAGAAACATTTGAAATTGAAATTGAAATTGAAATATTGAACTTCAATATAATGCAGTTCGTTCTTAAAAGAAAAGATCTAGCAAATATGAGAAATCAATGTAAATGCGGTTTCAAGAAAAAAACGAAAGAGAACCTTCAACTATACATTCCTATCTAATAATTATTAAACTATTTCATGTTTGATCACAAAACTATTCGTCGGACATAATCCCTTAGCTGATTGATGATCTTTCGTATAGCACTATTTCACATTTAGCTACTACCTTGTTAAGACAAGACAGTACCCCTTACTTAATCACAGAACACATTTCTCGATCACCTTATTAAACTATTTACTATTTATTAAACTATTTACAATTAATGGGGAAAAATTCATCGTTTTCTAAATATTTCTAAAGCTTCTTGAAGCAATGATCTAAGTTCAAAAAATTAGATATGCTGGGAAAAAAGCAGTAAAACAACAGAAATGGACAACAATATAACGACAAAATTAAAAGCTTTGGTGTATCTACTGGAAGAAAATTTTGGACAAACATAAAAAAAGTAAATGCTTTCCTATTCATTAATTCAATAGCTAATAACAACAAAGTACATGTTACCACAGTTTTTTGCAAATTTCACAATCTAACAATTAAAATAAAATTTTTCGAAAGCGAAAAAGCACGCCTGAACAGGTAACGAACAAATTTCAAAACGAACAAACTTTAATTTCAGTTTCAAAACACATATATCGAAGTTGAAAACTAGCAATAAAACTGGTATGATAAAAATTAGTTGGTGCACAATATCGATATTTAAACCAACAAATGAGTTAAACGAAATGGTTTTACAACTTACGCCTCAGTCTGAGCATGAAATTTGACCGTGGGCTATTTAGCAAAAAGTTGCGCTACCTGCACTAAACATGCTACAATAAATGAACATATAATGAACATTCCAGTTACTAACAGTAACTGGTATAACATTCTGCTCATTAATGATATGAATGGACCACTTACAATCTAGCAAACGTACCCGACCAATCATCGTTAGTCATGCAAAGCAGCCAAAATCTTTTCTAACCATAAGTCGGCGTCAGCTTTCGTATCAGAAAGTAGTGAGTACACACGTCTGGAGGTACGAACCTGAATAAGACATCAGTTTTATAAACTGCAAATAAAGCATTAGTAGAAGAGTTTGTTCTATAAAACATTGTTGAACTGATAGAATCAAGTTATTAAAGGTTACGAGCCGAATTGGCAATGGCACTAATTCTAAAATTCTCATGAATCAACAAAATCGTTCCTAGATAAATCCAAGATCCATACTTCCAGAAGCGGTTTTCTCAGAGCATGGCTAGCAGCTATTTCGACAGATTTAACATCAGCCAAATCGATAATACCGCGACAGTTTATGTCCGTTTCATTCTCATAATATCTCAACTGAAAATTTATATAATAAATACAAAAAAAGACAATAAAGCTCAGACAAATAGTTAACAAGATTAAAAGTTAAAAGTCTATAAACTTGATATGATACCTGATGTCTATTTGAGTCCAGAACAAACCAACGAGGCTTCCACATTTTAAATGTAGCACCTTTCTTCATTAAAAATCCACTATAGGTGGCACCAGCATGAGGGCAACTTGCACTCATTGTTAGCGTCCTTGTATCTGCTGCAATTGAAGAAACTCTCAAAGTTGACTAAAATAAGAATACAAAAATACATAGTGGACACTTTGTTCAAACCCGATGCCAAATCTTACAGAATATTTTCATAAAACAATGATGATAATAAGTATGCCTTTCGTCACAGCAATCAACTACTTTACCGTGTAATATTGCGAAAAATATATATAAATTAAACTTAGATAATCTCCACAGAAAAATTAACCTGTATAAGTTGCAGATCGTTTTGACACTGATGGAAGATCACATTTGGCAGCTACCACTAATCTTTTTTCGTCCATATTAGGACAAGTAGAAGATACTAGGACAGAACATTTTTCATGACAAATCATACCACACCCCACACATCGATGAACTGAAAAAATATTTTTTTTACTGCAAGTTTTCACAATTTTTTAAAAAATGTTCGACTTCAAACATTGGATCATTATGTTGATAACAAGCCAGAAGGGGAAATGGAAAATCGTACCTGTACGTATTACAACACCTGGAGCATTCTGATGGCATACTGCACATATATCCCCAGGAGTGACCTGCTGTGTAATGAAATGATGACCCGAACTTCTGAAAATTTCCTTGAATCATTTTGAATTAGTATTTGGGATAATGCATCTAATTACTTCGAAAACATCTTGTAAATTATTACACAAGCAACTATTTAAATCACATTGTAAGGGATAATCTAATTAAAGCCGCAGTTTGCTTCTGATTTAATTAATCCTTTAAGCATTATTCACGATAATAGTTTAATCTATAACAATAGGTAATGCATTAAAAAATTTTTGTACACCAACAACGGTTAACAAAGGGCTGTTCTCTATCACTTATATCAATCCAAATCAGTAACCTCTTCTTATTACCTACCACTTTCTGATGAAAAAGTGAGCAAGAGAAATCTAGAAATAACTTACGTGCTTGCTGTACTATCTCTTTGCCTTGACGAACTTTGTTGTCGGGATGTACCATGAAGCAAAAGCTTGACAGTTTCCTTCTTTTGAACAGCTCTTTGCACGTAACGATGCCAAATACTTACAGCACTTGCATCCTCATCATTCTAGAACATTTTCCACGATAATACAAAATGGAATTGCTAGGTTTTTCAAATTTACGAAGACAGTAGAAAAAATTTGCACAAATTACAGCTCCAAGTTGAAATTTCTCCAAAAGTCAAATTTAAAACTCCAAATCAAATTTAGTGCTTTCTTCATTACAATCTATAATAGATAAAAATTATTAAATAGGAAGTTGAAGAAGTCGACGAAGTATATGAGCAAGTTTTCCACATCTTATTGTTAAAAAAAATCAACCTGAAAGCATGAAATTTGCATTGCACGGTCATTCACTACTGCAATCAATGTATGCCATGAATCGACGGCTTTCTCATCTTCACTAGTGAGAAGTGGACGTAATCGAATGAACCTCTGAAAGAATGTCAAGAATGTCAATTGTTCAGGATTGATTCTTTTGCCATCCTAAATATATATTTCGATCGCTCAAGTACTTTTGCTATTGCTAACAACCAACATAACAGAATTTTCACCCATACCTCAATTAAAGATGAAAATGAATCGAGAAGAAGAAAATGTGTACAACGATAGCTTGCATCCAATAATCTCCTTGGCATGGAAACCGAAGCCCCAACATCAATCAACGATTCTTGATGCTCATCTTCACGTTGCTGCTGTTCCATCTCAGCTATTTCTACAAGAATAATAATTATTTTTTCCTTTTAGCAGAAATGAGCATTTTAGTGACACAAGTGATTGTGAAAATTTGAATAATCCAAGATATCTGTTAGCAGCAAGGATATCTCGAGACTATGATCATCCAAAAAATCAGAAAAACATGAAACAATTGGCAAATTTACCGATATCATAAGGAGACCCATGTGCCAAATGATCTTCGCAGTAAAAAGGCCACAATGTTATGCTGGCTATACTTGATTGTGGTCGTAAAACAGTGTGCATTTCAGCAACATATATGAAATTATCGAACAGAGACGATCTGAAACAATATCTGAAAGTAGCAAGAATCACATTGTTCGCACCACATCTGAATTAATCAAAAGCATTTACTTACCCAAGGCGTTTCTCATCAATGTATGTCCATAGTGATGCGGTACGTGGTTCTCCTGCTGATAAAGTAAGCGAATCAAACTTAATCCGCTCCGCCTCCGAATCATGTAAAAATGTACGAAAACATGCAGAAGTAGAATGATAAGCAAGGAAACGAAGGTAGAAATCATTGAATTCGAATGCTGATGGACACTGTTCCCAAGTCTAAAAAATGCATTTTCAATTTACCAAATACTTCTGATTTAAGTTAATATTAATTTTGCTTTCATGATAGCAATGATGCCCTTTGGACTTAACAACATTATTATTAGTACAACACCATACCTGATGTACAGCATCCAAAAATAATAAAAACATGGGTGCAATGCCACTGCTTTGAGATGCAGCTGAATGATTGTGACGATGAGAAAATCGATGCCCAAATGCAAGCCATTCTTTTTCTACCAGAACTCGAAATCCTTCGAATGTCCTGAAGTATTATATATTTGTTGCTTTAATATTAGAAGTACAGAGAGAACTGATATCTAAAACACCTCATCATAGAAAAGAGTCAACCGTAATCATATAAATAACTAATGCATACCTGTAATAAGGATCAAGGAGAAGCTCTGAAAGCGCTGTAAGTTGACAAGTGGCATCCCATCCGTCTTCGATGCATATAACTACGGTTGAAAGTTGTACATCAATCAGATCCACTATTGCACAAGCTAAATGCAACAACGAAGATACCTGAAATTGTTATGAAACGTATCAAACACTTCTAAATTTTCCAAAATTATAATATTCGAGCAATATTAAAGTGCTTTGCCTACCATATGCAACCACAAAGAATCGTCGATTTGCTTCAGAAAAGTCAGAGATGGATCGTTATCTAACGGCCAGCTTGGGCATGCTGCACGCAAAAATTTTTTGAAGGATATCTTCACATTATGGGCAGATGGGTAGTTTACAGGAATGAATTCGCATCTATTGTCCAACTTTAGCATCTGAAAGCAGTTCAAATAGATACCATAGGATTTAAATTAAAGATAAGCAGAAATCCATCTCAACCAACACTTAAGCGAACTTTAATTCTGGCTGAAAATGTACAGATACGTACTAAAAGCAACCTTAGCTTGACTTCTATCTCCTAAAACGTATAGTGCCTTCCTTGTGAGACTGATCACCGGCTTCACTGCCTGTCCTCGTCCCAAATTCGTATGTCGTGATTGGATATTGCTACCATAATCCACATAACCAATAAACCGCTCACCATTTGCGGCTGAAATTTCTGCCAAATTATATACTTACACTTACAAAGGAAAACAAATTTCGCCTCAAGAAAAGTAAAAATAATTGTACAGATAAGCCTTACGTTTTATTCCAGATCTTCCTCCACTATTTCGGACAAAATTTGCTGCATGTCGAGCAATGTCTGTTTGTGATTTACGATATAAATCAGGAGTTCCGGAATTTAGTGACAAACCATCTGCCGTAATCATCGAATAGAGCGATAACAATGATTCTACTGACTCAGACATTAATGAATGACCATCTGCACTTGTCATCTTCGGTGAAAGTGCCGCAAACATAGAAACGTATCTTTCCTAACAGATTAATTTATTAAAAATAACAAATGACTGAGTTACATAATTTGATTTTAAAACTGTAATGACTCAACAACGTTTTTAGAATCTTGATTTGCTCAGAAGACGTTTAAAAAGTCTGAAGTTTATCGGTGAAAAAGTAATTCGTAAATATACCTGTAATTCAACGCTGTTTGGTAGAGCCATATCACGTGGATTAAGGGACATATAAGAACCGCTATACCCTATATTTTGGTTATCACTACTGCCAAGGAAATTTGCTTGTTTCCTTAACCGACTGACCACTGTTTGTGAACTGAAGCCTGCACCACGTACAAGTAACGCACCGTTGTCACTTTTCCATGTAATTACGGGAAAACGACCATGCCGGAATCCTTTACCGATTTTCGTAAAATTGTCATCAGGTGTATTTGCAGGCACCACTACAATATTTGGATAACTGAAAATAAAAGAGTATGAAACTTTGTTTTTAGAAATTATTGGCAAATCCAGAACCAATAACTGAAAAGCCTATCAACTGTTAATCTCTTACGACCTCTTCTTCCAAAGAGAAATTAGTACTTATATGATAACAAAATCCTCTGAGATCGTCCTCCTTATCTTAGTTTCTCTAATCATTCTTGGACGCTTCATACATGAGGATCAAACGCCTTACAACAGTATCATGAGCTTATTTCTGGATACACCAATAAGTTTGACATCTAATAAAGATGGTTCCCAAAAGAAGATGTGTAACTTTGATTGGCTCGAACGTCCATATAATTAGAAAAGCTTATAAAAAAAACCTCTTGCTCAGTCCATAACGACGATTTGCGTTTGATAACCGAAAGGAACCATGATTCAAGCCCAATCGATCGTAATCGACCAAATAATGACGATGTAGCCCGCTTGTTGTTGGATCTATCATCTCTCCTAATCATTATTCGAAGTGATTGTTTGAAAAAAGAACACAATTTTACAAAACTCGAACCTTAAACCAAGCTTTGAAAAAAAAAATGAAACTTCTATAAAAGCAAACTTACCAGATAGGTCCAAATAATCATTTTTTGAGGAACGGGGTGGTGCACCAGGTGATAAGACATTCAGTGTGCCCGCTTCACCGTTTTTCGGAATTGGTGGTAATGCTTTGACTGGAGTACGGAATCGTTTTCTTTCCTTCAATGGATTCCGCATTAACGCCTTCTTCAATTCCCTGCAATTGTACTAGAGTAAAATTTGTAAAAGCTTAGAAATTGAAGAAAATAATAAAAATCAGTCAATTCAATCATGCGAGAGAACTGGAATCTACATTAACATATATGAATAAACACGGAAACTGATAGGATAAAAATGCAGAAAATTCTGGGATTGAATAAGTGAATAATGTATTGCAATTGAGCGCATTTAAATTAAATAAAATGCAGTAACATATATTACTTCATCGTTCCGTACTTGTGTTTCGATGTGATACCGCCCAAAGTTGATGAAAGTACTGATGAAGCAGCTGAATAAGCGAAAAATGTATGTGGTAAAACAGATGCCCATCGTAAACTACTCAAAGCTTCCATGAATTCTTCTGCCTTCTCATTCGGTACTTCTTCATCAAATGCGAATTTCATGAGCTATAAATTACCAACAAGATGAAAATGCAGCCAATAAGCTTTAAACAGTAAAAATACAGTGAAGCGCAAGGAAAAATAAACAACAAAGCGTATGAGTAACAATTAATAAACAAATTTACTTGAAAACCAGAACTTCGTATCTGGAAAGCATCATGTAACTGATGTGCCACACGTACGGGAATACCCTCAAGCTGAGAGCTTTGGGATGAAGCATCACCAATCGGTTTCTCCTTCGTTATTGACATAACTGTTATTGAACGTACAACTACCTGCTCGCATACTGTAATTTAGTATCACTTTAAAATTTTGAAGGAAGTCCAAAGAAAATCTTAAAAAATCCTATGCAATTAATTCATCTCAAGAAAAAGAAGTGAAACAATTCATAAACGTACAGAATAAATCGCAAGGCTGTCCTTTGAATACAACTCGATAATTAGTTAGGAAAATAGCTCCTTCTGCTGGAAGAAGGCCTTGTGGTGTTTCGCTACATGTTATGCTCGCTATTCGTCCATCGGCTAACAAAAACACTCGCAGTCCTCCAGCAACAATACGTTCAGATGGTAATAAAAGTGCCGGTTGTAATAATTTCGGCTGTAAATGGATTTGATAAATGAATATGAATTGAACGGAAAACATCAACAATACCAGAACTGACCGAATTTCAGTGGGCCGCTCTCGCCTATAGGAGAGTGAGAGTTTGCCTCAATCAACTTGCTTACTGGTCAGGCTTCCGCTAGTTGCTGACAATTAAAGAAAATTGAAACTCTAACCTTATGCAAAGGTGAAAGACGTTTGCTTTCAGTATAAACTTGTTCCAGATTATCGATATGCAGTGCAACGAAGCCCGGTATTTCTCCACAAAGACTTTCAATTTGAGGTTGCTCCAAACCAGCCGATGAACAAATACGATCAATGAGCCTATAAAATACAAAACAAATTCACTGGAGATAATAAAATCTAACATAACAATTAGTCCACTTTTAAAACCATTAGAAAACTTTCACAATAACGATTGCTCCAATATTAAAGAGGGAAAGAATTAACCTGCTGATCCAACGAACAGTAGAATTCCCTAAATCTGTTGAATCCGCTTCAGCAAAACCACTTTCCACTTCACTTTCACTTGCGGACAGTTCAGTTTCTTCATCAAAATCACGTTTTCTACCATTCCGATCACTTCGTCTTTCTAGCTCACGTACATTAACGCGACGTAACTTTGAGACATCGAGTGGTACTCGCATATATACCATCAGATTAATATAATGTTTTGCCTATGACAAAAATTTCGTAAAGAACAAAAAATATGTATGAATGAATACATCTAATTGATGGGATTATATGAAATTTCGACAAGTAGTAGTGCAAACCCAAATAATTTAAAGATTTAAATAATTCAATAACTGATGAATGAAGTTATTTCAGCACCGGTTTGTTTTAATCATTCACGAAATAATTCATATATAACCGATATCCATATCGTGGAAAAGGAATAAGGGAAAAAGAAACAAAACGCCCTTAAACATATGAAGGAATACGGATAAGCCAAAGATAAGGTCGAAAATAGATATGTTGCTAGCTGTATTGATAGAACGAAAAGAGCAATTAATGACGGATATAAATGCATGGAATACCAATTTTTTTTATTATAATTCAGTTTTATCTATTTTTTGTTTTAAAACAGTTAGAAGAAAATGCTGAAGGAAATTGGACGAATTCAATCTGCAATGTTTAATTCATTAAATCTCAATGAAACAAATCAATATATACCTGTCCATAAACAATCGAATTTTCTTCTTTTGCACGCTTCTCGATTTCATTTTCCTTAACATTTGAAATGTTTGCCAGCTGATCACTGACCAAATCCATTCCAGAAGGTTTTTCCATCAAATTCCATGTATCCGTAACATTCTACAATTTGTGCTTAAACTTCAGGCCCTCTTCCTACTCCTATGAGGGACCTTTCTTCTTGAAGCTCTTTCTTCTTTCTCACATTTTCTTGTTGCTTTGTTTGATGAAAATTTAGAATGAAAAAGTGAAGTAAAAGATGACACTCAGACAAAATCAAAAAATTCTTTTAATTGCAAACATATATTTCAACCATTAATAGTTTTGAATGAAGAAATGAAAGAAATGTTTTGTTCGAACCAACACATACTTCTTTCAGTGGAAATGGACAATCCGACTCTTCCCTTACTGGTAAATAAAGACGCCTGATTTGTCGATGAACGTCATGGAAGAATGCTGCTTCCCAGAACTGCTGATTATCCCATACCGCATGTTCTTGAATGCAAGTGTATGCAAATTGATGTACACCAGCTGTTAAGCGCTATAATAAAATCCTTTCATGTGCATAACAAATATGGAAAAGAGATTTCTCATCAAACAAAGAAGTAAGGGGAAGTTCAAAAAATCAAATTGGTTAATTTGAAACAATGGTTTACTCTGCAATAAATGTTGGAGAGGTATAGCATAGCATAGGCAATTCCGTGTTCATCCTCTCTGGATTCTTGCTGAAAATTTTGATGTATAATTCGGCCGGTCAATATAATAACAGTTCAACTGAACTGATTTACTCGATCTGGTTATTGAATACCGACTCACTAAGTCTAAGCAATTTCTCAACCTTTATCCCACAAAGCAAGCCCATAGCTCTTCTCGATCACAATCGTAGCTCAGTAATCTACATGAATTTCTTTTTTCAGAAACATGTACATTGAGGGCGCAGTTCATTAATCGCACAATTAATTCAAACTGCTGCGGAAATAGCGTTGCACGGTTGACTGGGACAAGATTTTTCCATAGCAATTGACAAAATGCTACGCGAGCATTAACACTTCGCATTGATAATTCTACTGCACACATTATCTGCAATAAGACATGTGTCATTTAACAGGAATAGAAAGTACTTCTCACCAGTTTCTTCGCAGATCACATCTTCAAAATACCGAATATTTAAGAAAAAAAAAAGAACTGAAATTATAACCTTTCTGGCATCCGACAATTTGAAATCAAAGATGTTATGCAAGCAGCTGCTAAGAACTTGTAAACGTCTAGAAACTGCTCCCATATGTTCTTCTTTAGCAATAATCCAGGGTGTGGCTTGGACACGACGTGGACATAATACAGGTGCTACATTATTTAAGGTTGTTTCTAGCTTACGGCTGATTGATCGTGATATCTTGAATAATACATGAGAAAAAAATACAATTCGAACAAGGTCAAAATTTAATGAAATCAAATGGTTAAGGATTTCATCTGTATGGATTCTATTTCAAAATAAAACCCTAATATATTAACGATTCTAATCGCAGCAAACACCCGTACTAACCAAATCATTATTAAGAAGACGCAGTTTTGTAGTTGAAAATGAAACAGTAAATCGCTGCTGAGTTACAAAGGGAGTGACTGAAAACGGGGTTTCCTGCCTTTCCTGAAAATAAAAATAATGGAAACAATGCTACTGTGTACACAAAAAAAATAAGTGAACATAATCGTATAAATGATGCACCGAAAGCCATGAATGTTAAGAAGCATAGTGAATGAACAGAGAAAATGATGAAAAAGAAACAGTACATTCTCAAGTAATTTTTCAGCAGTCTCAACGATATTTTCTATATTGGTTGTTCGCGAACCGAACTGACCATTTAATTGCTCGCTAATCTGAGCAACAAGCTGCAAAATCAATAATTTATATTATGCTTTGTAAATTCATACATACTGCAGCATAATCCAGAACATGTTTCGTCAGCTTTCAAATGCCATTTCTATTGTTCATGATAACTTAAATCACCTTCCTCCATTTGCATACTAAAAAATTACTCACTTCAAATACCTTCGTTCTTCTGCAAAATAAAAAATTACTCACTTCGTCGAACAAGTCGCAAATTCGGAAAGGTAACCCGCGTTCGGATATGAAAGACTGGAAAAGCAAGCTATCAAGGAAAGCACGAATAAGTGGACACGAAGACAATTGCCGTAATCCCAGAAATGCAGATTTATGAAAGACGATTAGTGGTGGCGTATAAACACGAATGACTTCCAAGCAGCACCGATATCCTATTAACAAATCCGCAAAGAAACGCAGAAAACATGCTCGAATTCTTTTATCCTAAAATACCGCAATCAATTCACGTGAACAAAACAAATTGTATGAATTAAAATGAATAAAAAAAGCAAAAAATAGCTAACCTGTACTTCACAAGCAGGAAATGGTGGCTGCCCAACTTTCCAAGCATAATCTGCGGTAGAGAGACCGGGAAACAGTACCTATACAATACTGAATCATTCGTATCCACATAAAGATAGATAAATATCATTTTAATTTTCTTTTTTAATTTTTGAAAAACATGCGAACCATTTGCAATGAAGAAGTGAGTTGCTGATGAAATGGTTGAGGAATAACAGGTATTGTAATCGAAGGAGGTACGTAAACAGCACCAACATCTAGATCCACTACAACTGCATCTAAATCAGTATACCGTATACGGACAGTGTTTAGCACACCCATAATGTATGGAGTTGGGCTTTCTAAGTATTCAATGAGTAATTCAGGCAGTACAGGAACATAAGTATGCCTGAAATCATATAATAAATGTAATAAAACAATCCAAGATTCCTAAGTTCTGATTGGACTGAATACGTGGTCACAATGAAAGATTGTTATCTACATACCCACCAACTCTCTTTTGAAGAATTTGCTTGAATAACACAGATATTGTTCTTAAATTTTAGTAATTAAGCCATTATAGAAGTTATAAAATTAAAGTGAATAAAAAAGAACTGATTTTACCAATATTATAAGATATATTTATGAAGTCAACTTACGGATAATCAAAAGGATACAGAAGCGAACGCAGAGCGTAACAGCTATCAGCAAGCAAAGAAAGTGAACTGGATCGAAACAATATCTTATAATCAGTCATGACAGCACAAAGCAGCGTTAGAATATTATGGATTGTTCCTAAATAGGAAATCATTATTTCTGTTCAGTAATATAACATAACACGCATGAATCAGAAATCATTAGTATCTTCTTTCCCTATAATTCCCTTTAAGATTGTAAGACCAAAAATTTGTACAATAAACTGCTATTTTTCTATTTTGCCAAATTGAAACGAACGAACCTAACTGTTGCAGAAATAGTGTCACTTTATCAGATGTAACAGGTATAGTTGGTGATTTGGGAGCCCGTACAGAAAGTCGATCACTCCCTAAGCAAAATGATACAGCAGGCATACCCGGAGTCAGATAAACTTGAGACAGCAGCGTTGAAATCATCAATTCGGCTTTATCTTCCGCTTCCAACAAAGCCAAGAGTATTCGATTTAAGCAATTCTAAAATCTTTTATTAAATGATTCAAAAATTTCCGGAATTGCTGGCAATAATTCGTCTAAATAAATTTCTGAAACATTTCGAAAACACATGATTTCAACTTTTTTAATTGAAAAAAATGGAAAACGATGCATTACTCTGAATAAATCGAAAAAAGGAAAACGCGACAATATCACAATAACTTTCGGTTTGAATAGGTTTGGTCCTTCATCAGATCTCGTATCATCCGCCTCGTCAATACCATTTCCACAAGGCTCGTAAACCTAAATCATCTTTTTCATATTTAGCTTAAAACTATCTCCCACAAAACTTCATCTAAATACTCCATGCTGCAAAAGTAACAATAATTCGTATGGATGGTATCTAAGCACTGAAAAGCATATATCACACGAACTCTAAATAAACTAAACGTTTAATTTGTGGTGTTAACTGGTAAATAAGACAATTCGAACAACAACAGCTCAATCTATCGCAGGGATAAACCAGTATCTTTCCAGAAAGTGACTACTTTAGATTAGACGATCATTGCTACCTTGACAATTAGTAGCATTTTTTAACTGTTACCTTTTAATTAAACCATAATTCCTTGATTACTAATACCGCATATTCATTCTATAACAGTTCAATGGATGTCATGCAAGTACATGAAGGTTGCTTCAGCTAGAGAAATAATGGAATATTTGAAACAAAAAGTCAGGATAAAAATGAAGGAAAAAAACAGAAAAAAATGAAGATATAACCTGCAAACAGCAAGCATACTGCCTGGCACCCATAATATCCGTCAGTGTGTTCGTGAAGAAGCAAACAGGATGCATTTCCGCCGAAAGAGCCCAACCTTGTGGTTGGGAAAACTGAAATTCAACATTATTTCGAACCTCAGTCTAATTAAATCAACTTACCTAAAATATTTGACCAATAAAAAAATCCTCTCGTTTTTTCCAACCCTTTTCACTTTTCATAAGAAAAAGCTGATTAAAACTGATATTTTATTGCGTGAGCAATACCAAAGGTTGTTCCACTAAGGAGAAGTAAAAGGATCAAGGGTCTGAAACTAAATAATCAAGTGTATCAATTTCAAATAAAGTTGCAACGCATGCATGTACTATGATCAAGATTAACTTCCCTAATGCCTAATTCTCGGATATCTTGATCACTATACCAATAAGAAAAATTCTGGAATTATCCGATTTCCAAATAAAGATTATAAACATACCACTTCAAGGCTTGGTGATAGTGATATATCTGGCCAATCATATTTTGGGAAGCGCTGTATAATATTTCCAACGCTGCTTCCGTGTCCTAAAAATAACTATTTTTAGCAGTCTGGAACTTCTTTTCTTTAAAATTCCTTTAAAGAAACCATAACGTTTTTCCGAGTAAAACTTTTTCTGCATTCAATTTCTACATTAAATATTCTTATGATTTATAAAATTTGAGAATTAATGATATACATTCGTAAGGAATATAACAGATCATAAATCATAATTTAACACTGCAACTTAGACTTGAATTTTACAGTAAACATGAATGAGTAGAACCAATTATATTAATGCATTTAGTAACTAACGAATTTGAGTTTCATCGAATTCGATAACGACAACGTAATCTACAAGACGGGTACTTGCTCCTTCACATTCCGACATTACAGTGAATCCAGGCAGCACATTGATCCTGGGTAAAGCTATTGAATGTTTTCAGAAAAACAACCAATTGAAACTCTTTTAAACTGAAAACCTCAGTTCGCACTCAGTTAGTAAATATCTTTTTCGTTTACAAAATTTGGGGACTATAACAGAAAATTTTCTGTGGTGCTAGGGAATGAGAGAAATCCACTATCATGGATTTACAAATTGCTTGAAATAAAAATCCTGAAAAAGAATGAAATCTACTCGAAATTACAAAAATCGTGCAATGAATGGAAGAAAAGTAAATATACTTCGAAAAGTTCTAGCAGCTGAAGTTGGTGATTTAGCTGACTGATTCATAAAGTTCCAATTCAACAACTACGAGAGAATTGAATTTCAAACAAAGTCAATTTTGCCCATCAGTAGCAAATGGGTTAAAATAAAAATCGAAAACACCACGCGCACAATGATCAATGGCGTTCGTTGTTTACCGTACAATTTTGTTTATTAATCTCGGATTTATATACTTTTCAATCATTCCTATCACTTTTTAATTCCTCCAGTTTATCTATTATTTAAGAAGCCCCTAATCTGTTTGAATTTTTTTGAATACTCCGTCTCTCCGTTATCCGGTTTCCATTCATTAACTTCCCTTAATTCGGCTAATGAGCCGAATGTCTATATCCAATTCAAATAACGGGAAAATTGAACTGTTTATATTAAGGAGAAAGTAGAAATATAGATAACGGGACCCGGAAATATCGAAATCCCGCATCTGCGGTAAAACATGGTACCGACCGTTACGGTAATGCTTTTTCTAGCGTTTTGAAGAAGCGCCTCTTATTTGCTGGATTGTTGTTGAAATAGGAGGTGAGGGATGAATAGGTTGTACGAGGCATTAAGGGATTAAAAGAGATTGAAGATGAATGAGATGTGGTGTGCGGGAAAAGATTATCGTATAGCGTTGTAATTTGAGAAAAGGAAAAGAATGCTAAGATTTTTACAGAGCATATGACGAGAGATTGAAAAAGTTGTAAGAGTTGTAAAAGAGTAATGAGAGAACTGATATATTTAGGAGTATAAGAAGTTGGTAAAGTTATTTGTTAAAGGGTAGAGAAGATGAAATAATAATAATAGGTTTAGTACATGTGATGAACTAAGAGTTTATTATTCAAGAATGGATGGTAAAACATGGACTAACTTTATGAACACTATTTTACAATTGAATTTTCAACTATTTTCAGTTAATCTTTCATACCACCTATCTATAATTATTGGATATTTTATCTAATTGTATGAGAAATTTAAGTGGAATAGGATGGTTGAAATTTGAATATGAAAACTTGATATGAAATAACAGTTCAAATTTGTCCTCTTTTTGTAAAGTGTTTTTATTATAATTATAATTTAATTAGTCTATCTTTCCAGAAGTTATTAAGACAGACGAAATGATTTACATACGTCTGCATTTCTTCTAATTGAGTTTTTCATTTTTAGGATGCAATGTATAACGTTATGCTGCTGGTATTGCTAGTATTTTTTGCACTAGCATTAGAAGAATCCAATTTGATCGATAACTTTCATTTACCAGAAGAGCATATTCAATATTGGGTAAATCGTGATAATGCGATGCGTAATTTGTGCTTCAAAAATAAAATTTGCCATTTAAAGGTTGCCATTTTTATCGCTTTTTTTAAATGAATTTCACGAATCTTTTATTCCAGCAATTGTTGAATTGAAGAAAATTAATATACTAGGATAGATATTGGATTGATTTACTAGAATTGTATATTTTCTTTCTGTATGTTTCATATTATTTTATCCTGCATGCACATGAAAGAAAATGTTATGTTTTTTCGACTAGTGAAAGCAATAGAAATTTGTCAAATGTTAGTCAAATTATCATGGTTATTTCTAAGATCCCTATCTTATTTAAATTTTGATTTTAAATATAATTCCAAGACTGCTGTTTCATTTGATGCAATGTTTTCCTGACATAGCATAGGAGTTGAACATTTATTGAACTGTTTTCCTTTAGTGAATCAAATTCGATTCCTTTCAAATAATACTACCTTCAAGTTTTTTTCTTTTTGTTTAAATAATGGCCATAAAAACATTTTTGTGTGTCAACACAATTTCAGTATGGAATAAACAACAAAAATTGTTGGGGTTATGAGCCGAATTGTGATCCGGCAGACAGTTATTCGGTGCGAAAAGCAAAATGTACGAAGGCAAGCAGTTGGTTGGTTTCAAGTTTTATGAAGTTATTATTTCAAATTTATTGGAAACAAAAATATTTTTTTTTGCTGTATCTATTGCATTAATGCTTACATTTATTATATTATGATGATTATACCTTATCGAATTTCAGTGTATTTTCCCAACTAATCTTACTTTGAAATGAGTAACGCAATGACAAGATTTTGACTACTATTTGATGAAAGGGAGATATTATTTTCACGGTTGCTACCCAATATGTCAATGTGATTTAGTGTGCGCAATTTTGCTGTAGAATTTTTAATTTTTTACTTTATGATTGAGTAGTATTTGAATAAATAACATTTAGTGGAGGTGCTATCACTGAATAATAGTAAAAAATGCATTTGCGCCACACTGAGCTTTTATCCAAAATGTTGGTTTGAGTATCAGTCAAATTTAACCAAACATTTATGTTAATATTTTAGGGGTAGGAGCAGCATCGAATCACAATTAGAAATTTTTCAAAAACAAGGTGATTTTCCGAAATTAGCGGAAATATTTTACAGTATCGAACCGATCTGCATTTCAGATCATACAGTACGTAATCGTTATTCGATTTTCACTTGGTTCACCAAATACATAGTTGTTTTCATGTGGAATTCATTCCTTGAATTGTAATTTCCCGCGTTGTTTGCAAGAAATTTAGTCAATTTATTTATAGGAAGGTAGTTTTCTCGAATGTTCCAATCATTTGAGATTCTGTCGGGCAAGGAATATTTTCTTCGATTTCAAAAATTTAAATTCAAAAACTTCGAAGAGGCAAGTGATATTTTGAAACAATCGTCTTTGCAATTTAAATGAATTTAGAAATTCGCTTTGATTTGTATCTGCGATTACAACTCGCTCGCAACGTTTTGTTTTCCATAAAAATCTATGAATTTGAGATATCGAAATGATGTGATCCGGAAAGGACAAGTTGGTGGAAACTGTGACTCAATATTTAACGAAAAATTACTGCACAGTAGAATGGATGAAAAAAGTTATTTGCAAAGTTGGTAAGTAATTTGTTTGCATGAATAAAGGATGATCCTTTTTAGGGAAGTTCTGTTTTTAACTATGTTAGTCTTTCTCGTTAATATATTTCTGGGCAGCTTAATTTAACTTATTTATTTATAGAATTTTTAAGACGGGAACTGTATATCTTTTTAAAGATATTTTCTGTCTTTCTGACATTTTGATAATGTTTTGGATATAACTGTAATTAATGTTAACCGTACCTAGGGCTCATGAATTAGAGCATTTTGTATCATATCCTGATTTTCGAATTTCGGAACATCATTGTGATGTAATCTTCGACAAGCCAACAGTGCTGATCAAATTGGATGCATCAGTAAATATGTATCATCATTTCTGTGATTTTATCAATCTGTATGCAAGCCAGCATATTAATGGTTCAATTAATATGGACATCGATATTCTATGGTGGGATACGGTTAGTTTTGCCATTCGGCTAACAATTTTGCTAATTGTTCTTTGTGTTAGATATGTTAATTGAAATTTATTCCATTTATGTACTTTATTTGAATAACGCAACTATAAAACTTGATCCATAACCGGTCAAGAAATTATCATATCAACATCATAACTGATCCAACTTGAGCTTAGGAAGCTAGATGAAATAATGTTTATTATGATTAATTATTAAACATATTTAGTGGTCTGGAGGTTTCGTAGATCCCACATTTGGAGCTACTTGGCATGCTTTTACGGTGAACACACCTCATGAATTAATTGATTTGGACGGAAAAATGGTCTGTTTCCGGAATGCCGTATTTTCGATGCTTGCCCGACAGAGGTTCGGTCTCTATTATAATATGCCGTTAGTAAGTCCGTTAGTAATTTTTGCGGCATTTTTTACAGAAATTTGCAGGCAAAAAAGTTTAAAAGTGATTTACTTTTTACCGCCAAATAACATAAAATGTATGAAAATAAGTAGCTCTTGACCTTAAAGTGACTGGATGTGTTGAGTATCTCCAGAGTATCTCGATGGTAAAAAATTTTGTGAGGACAATGGGGTTGAGCGATAGAAGAGAGAAATCTTTCATTATTGTTCGATTTGCTTTTAGTAGATATAATAGAGACTTTTAACATACTTCTAGTAAAACAAGAATTTTTTGTGGAAAGAATAGGTTAACGTAGGTCAAAAATTTTAAAGATATTCAGCATTATAATAAATTAGGCATTTCTTTTGTCTCGAACACTTTGATTAATGCTTGGCGTTTTCTAAATAAAAAAATGATATTTAAATGTCAATTTCTACAATATATGTACGCTTTACTTGTTGTCTTTCTACTTTTTAGTTATACCACCGAGTACCTTGCACCGCTCACTGTAGGTATTGTAAAAACCCAGCATAATTAAAACCACAAAATACTCCTAATACTTTGACACACAGGCCGTTCTTCATCACTCGATAATTGACACAGCCAATGGTTTAGCAATTCATTACGTATAAATTCTTGTTGGGAAAGTAAAATTGGAATTTTTAAAATGATTGAAAAAATTGTTTTTGATTGATGGCTGTGAAGGAAGTGGTCTCATTCATGCATTTTCTCGGCATATTCTTCATCGTTTGATGATTCGACAGAATGGGCCACTATTGGATAAGGTTCGTGTAACACTACTGTCTAGGAGTACTCCGTTCAGGAAGATAATGAACGAAGATGAGGTAAGTGAATAATTACAAATTACTTCTTCTTTTAAGTTGTTTATTTTGAATGTGATTGTCAAGTACACTTATTTTTTCAAATAATTTTTTTTTAATTTTTGCTCTGTTCTTTTTAATATATTAAAGATCTAGGTTCCTAAAAATATTTGAAGAATATTTCTGGATCCGTTTTGCAACTTCACAAACTGTCTTTGTTGCTTTGATTACCACCACTTGTTTGTACGCCGACGGATGCATTTTCTATTTCACTTTCATCAAATGTTTCTACTTGTTTCAGTTCAATTGGAACAAGCACTGTCTGCAAATTTAGTTATACTCAGTTGTCCAACTTGTTTGCTTTTTCTTTCGAATATTTTCTATTGTGTCAAAATTTTTTTCTACAATTTTTAAGATCCTCTCATTTTTTATATTCATTTCCTTTCTGATCTTTTGAAGAAATTCCTCAACTAACCTGTTGTCCGATGGGAGGTTGCGTGAAAAAGTAACCGCGCGATATTCGATCAATTTGAATATGTCGTAAATTCTTGAAAAGTATATTCAAAATCCCAGCACAGCATAACGCTGAAAATGCTTCTTTTTTAAACGAGAATATTTTTATATGAAATTGGAAAATTGAGGTAAAATATCGAGCCACGAAGCTTAATGAAACTTATTATTGTTCCATTTATCTTTCTCGCTGCTTTCTAACTTCTTATCAGTATCTTTTCCTGTATTTTCGTTAAATTATTGCTAGTTCTGGAATTCGTTAACATAATCAGTTGGAGCTTGTGTGACATTAACGCTATCGGATTGCCAGGTTCGCTGCATATCTCTTATTCATGCAGTTTTAAATGCAAAATTTAGGGATAATTTTTTTGAAACATGGATGTTTTACCTTGTATGGGAGAAAGTACCATGTGCAAACTGTACATAGCTACTCGTGTATTGGATACAATTCGATTAAGCTCTGGTAAATTTTCCTGAAAAGTGACCGCGGATTTCAGTGTTCGTTCACTTATGCTTTTAGAAAATACTCATGCGGTTTTTTTTAAACCAAGCTTTAGGTTAAGGAAATAATTTGATATAATTTATTGAGCAAATAATAACCTCATAAAATAACCATCCTTGACCTCGTATTTGCTTATCTTCACCATAGATTAAGTATGCTGTCCAAATGAATATTGTCACAGCAACAATAAAGGTGATACTGGTAGACGCGATACAAAGCATCTAAAATATTTATTAATAATAAGAAATAGACATGTAAGAAGAATATCGCTAATTTTATAAGATGTAATGTCCATCTGTTGAATGATTTAAAAAAAAATTCAGGATTCACAAATTTCTAAATCAACTAAGATAATCAAATCAGTAGATATTTTAAAAGACTTATGTATATTTACTATGAGTTAAATTTAAGATTTTTTTTTACTGTAATTATTTAATAAAGGAATTTTATACTGCGGATATGATTTCTTTTTTTTTAACTTTTGCAGTTTAAAAATTTCAAAATTTTTGCAAATTAAGCTTCAATGCATATTTTTTTAATTCTTACCAGAAATGTTCGTGTTGGCCTATACCTTATGAAGCATAATACAGTGGAAGCATTGAGCATAAATAAGATACTTGCAATAACAGCCAGGTAATACGGACAGCCATCATAAAAAACGCATATTATACCAAATATCATCTATAAAATCATCGAATTAATAAAGAAGTTAGAGGTTTAATCCAAATTTTTGTTTTAAAATTTAAATGATTAAATGACATTTACCAGTTGAAGTGCTGCACCAAAAGCAATCAAAGTTAGAGTGAGCAAGGTTCTTGCTTGCATCAATATAACTTGGTTTGTTACTACTTGATCAATCTGAAATTTATGGGGTCAATTTTTCATAATTGTTTCATTTTTAATCTTTTATCAAAATTAAAATTTCAGGATTTCTAGATTTTCAGTATTGCCTAATTAAGACATATTTCAATATTAATTAATAAGAAAACAATCTTACGTGGAATGACGGCGAATTGACGGTTCCTTTGGACGTCGAACTTTCGATCATCTGGTTTACATTGTGGATATTTGCAATTGTACGTACTGGAAGTTAGCATATAATAGAGGGTTGTTATGAGATCATGGTCTAAGGAAAAACGAAATTCCATAAATCGAATTTTGCAAATTTTTACGATTTCGAGGTCATCCGAAATTACATCCGATTAATTTTTAGATGTTACTCTGGAAGGGAATGTATCTACTCTAAAATCTGATGAGGATACTGGAATTTTATATTCGCCTTATATTTTACAACTAATACTTTTCCCATGCTATACTTCCTTTTGCAAAATTCTGAAATAAATACATTTTTTGCAGTTTTATGTCTGACACGTAATCTTTACGATTGCTCTTGTCAGACTTTTATTTCTGTAAAATTCCTCTTTTATTACATCATTTAGTCCATTAACATTCTTCGCGGAAATTTCAATATTTCAATATATACCTGTAGACTTTGTTGTTACAGTATCATCCGATTCCATTGTTGTGATGGAATCTGCATGACTCCGTTGGATTCCACAACCATCGACCAAATGCTGCAGTCCGTAGGTATCACGATAATAAACTGTAGGTGGGAATGATCCTACTGGCTGGAAAAAAATTTTTTTTAATCCTAAATTTTAGAAATTCGATAATTATTTATCTCTAACTTCATTATTCATTACTACTTAGTAGTGCTTTTATTTATTTATCAATAGTAAAAAGCAAACATCCTTAACAATAATTATAATTAACTGAAACTAACCATGAAGACTTAATATTCAATTACATTTACATCTAATCAGTAAAAAAATATGAAAGATATAAACAAACCAAAGTATTTGAAGGAGTCCTATAGGGAATAGGTGCAGCCATGATGATATAACATGCAAAAGAAACTCGAAAATATATATTAGATTAACGATGGGTGATGAAATACGCTATCATTACTATTAGTTTCATTCCAAATCCATCATTAATGCCTTCGTTCGGCGTATATTCACTCATCGCGTTAAAACTGTAAATTTTTTGATTTATGAAATAGAATTGGAAAGATGAAAATGCTAAATGAAAATCTCTAGAATATGTAATCATCCAAGTTTACCACAAATAGCGTCTGAAAATTAAGATGCAAAATATCGTATTTAATTAAACCATGTTTACAATGAGAAATTAAAAATGAAAAATACTATGCTTAAAAATTAGATAAGTAAAAAATGAAGTATAGGTAACATCCAAGTTACTAATAAGTTTGATCGATATAAAACTGAGTTTAAATCCGCCCAAAACGAATATGAGAAAATTAATTGGAAAGAAAAATAAACTGAGATTTGAACTCGATTTAATGTAAGCATAATAAACCTAAACTTTTAGATGAAATTACAATACTAATTATTATTACCTAAGTAGAAGATAAAGTATAGTTAACATACAAGATATTAATGAGATCGATCGAATTAAAACTGGCTTTAAATGCGCTTGAAAGATATATGAGGAAATTAATTGCGAAAAAAAAAAACTGAAATTTGGAATTTTACCCAACTTAATGGGATAAGATTTTGGATAAAATTATATTACTAATTAATATTAAATAAGTAAAAATAGGTATCTTAAAGATAGGTAAAATAGGTAAAGATAGGATCGTGGAACTTAATATTGTAATACATATTTTGCTACTATTATATCGAGTAATATGAATTAATTAAATAGTTCATTAGGTAGTAGGAGTAATAATTAAAACGAATTTTTACATGCTAGTAGTGTGTAATAATATATGTAAGAAGCTTAATGGAATTATAGTGTGATATTGTTGAGGGAGGTGAAGAAGACGGAAGAAGAGTGAAGATGTATTGTTTGGAGTGAACTATTTATTGATGCAATTAAAGAATGGAATAGTTAGGCGGTTACTTAGTTAGTTAACACTGATTCACAACGATATACATACACACATACACACACACACACACACACACACACACATACACACATACACATATATTGATGACCCCGTGTTCGTTAAAAATGATGATATGGCACTTGAAATGATTGTGTTAGGCTTAGTAACAAAATAGCTTTTGCCGTAATGCAACTGATGAGATTGCTTTTTCGTTATAATTTACATCTTTGAGATGTGCTTATTTTATCTTTTTTTACATTATCTTTTCAACTTTTCTTTTTAATTTATCCTTTTCATCTATTTATCGATCTATTAATTCTACCTATCTATCGAATTATTCGCTTAATTTTTCCAAGTAATAATTAAATAATATGCGAAAATTATGCAAAAATAAAAGATTCTCTCTCTCTTTTTTTTTGTTGTTTTTTGTTGAAAATATTAATGAAATAATTAATTATAAGAGAAAAATAAGAAATAAAAAATTATGAAAATGAAATCAATTTTGTGATAAATCGGCTAGTTTATTTTCTCTCTCCCTTTCTTTTTCCTCCATCCATTTATTCCGCCGCCAGTCTATGAATTTTAATTTTTGAGTGACATTTTGGTTTTTTTTGAAATGACACCGATACATTCATCCATCTTCGTTTTGCAATAGTTATTTTGTTGGTTGTTGTCGTTTTTTTTTCATAGTTCTGATTAAATTTCCTGGCTATTTGCTATGTTAGATATATATATATATATTAGCATTAATTTACCTGAAGAAAATGAGTGTGTTTCATTCGAAAATTAAGTTAGAAGATATCGAAATGTTGTCATAACTCTGATAAGTTATCTTTCTGTACTGATTGTACATATGTTTATTCTAGATTGTATTAATACTAGCTTTTATTGTAATATTATTATTCTACTAAATAGCAATCAACAGCTTTTTTAATTCTCTTTCAACTTTCAATTAATCAACAGTTTTTCATAAATGCAGTAACTTATGCATATCTTTTTTTTTTTTTTGTTCCTCAAAAACTGATGTTTTATTTTAGTTAATGGAAGTTTTGAAGAATATTCCGGGTATTATTGTAAGACGAGTGGATTATAATAGGTTTGTATTACTATTTGCTGGTTTATTAAGGTATCTCTGGAAATTGGTTAGTGAAAGCATTTTGTTTGTTTGCTTGATATTTTTGATTGATTAATAAATTAGTCACATATTAATTTTTGGATTCCAAAATAGTTTACTAAATATTGAAAAAAAGTATATATATATATATAGGTATGAAAACTAATTAAATTTCACTCATTAAATTGCAGATATAAGCAAAAAGTGGTCCTATCGATTTATACAAAAACTTTACATCACTTTAATTATTTTCCGTAGCTCTTCAAAACTTCATTTTTATAATTAATTTCGTTGAAATTATTATAGAAGTATTACATTTTTAAAACAATTGGAAATCACACATAATAGCGATATATTCATTGGAATGCATGGTAGTGGTCTAACACATTTGTTATTTTTGCCGGATTGGGCTGTCATCTTCGAATTGTATGTTTCTAATTGATGTTTTTGCCAGTAATAACTTATGGTTGATCTCCGTCTAGAAGTTTGATCTATGATAAACAGGAGAAGGGGAGGAAGGAGGGAAAGGAAGAGAGGTAGATGGGAAGGTTTTCTTTTTTTTTTCAAATTTATCTTTGTTTATAAAGATCATGCTTACTAGCGTATGCTATGCAGTTATATCACCATCACGAGTAATTTACATTGAGTAATTTGATAGCTTTATTGTTATTTGACACTTGTTTTGCTCATTTACTTTTTAACTATTTGTTCTGCTTATTGCTTCTTTCGAATATTTTAAGGTATAACTGTGGTGATACGGATTGTTATTTGGATCTAGCACGACTTCGTGGTATCAAATATTTTACATGGACAAAAAGCGATAAGGTATTTCCAGTTGGTGAGGGTATACATCCTCAAACGGGTGAGCCACATGAAAAATTTCAAAATTATCGATTTGATCGACTTGAATTTCGAAGGCTTGTTCTTATGGTACGTGTGATTTTATTGTTTGCGAGGTGGATCTTTCAGAAAATTTTCATCTCAAACTTTTCGTGGAAACCAAAACATACCTGTAATATATTTGACTCCAACTTCATGATCCGTATATTTCGGTTTTGCAAGCATGAGTTCGATGGATAAACTTATAGCAAATAGAGATTTGAAACCTGTGAAATATTTTTTTTCTTTTTTATAGTGGTATTATTTTCTCTTAGAATTTTTCAAATTTTCGGAATTTACCATGATAATCAAACTTTTTAACATGATTTTCATATGGGCTACACTTTAACATCTCTTCCATTCTGAGCATCTGAAATATATCTGTTTATTGATCTAGCTATGAATGAGTTATGAAATTCCTTGCTACATATTGTACAGTTATCTATTTTTAAAAATTTCCATGCACATATCAGACTGTTTATTAGAGAATGGAGAGAGAGAGGAGTAAAAATTAGAGTTTAAAATTTTCATACGCTAAAATCAGTTCAGTTTATTTGAGCAAGTGGAATATGTACGACGTCACCCGGCATATGTCATGGAATTACGGAAACAGAAAAGAAAGCAGCATAATGAAGAACTGTGAATAATAGAAAAGTTTGAATTAGTCATTTAATTTTTGCAGATTTCGGGTATTGTTTTTTTGATTAGTTTTGCCTTTACTTTTTTTTCGAATTTAATTCATCATCTTTTCATTTTAAACTTCTTAACTTTTGTATGAAATATTTGCGAAGAATTTTAGCTTATTATGCAATTTGTTGTATAGGGTTGCGATTGAGTAAATTCAGGTAACCGAAAATTAGCTTAATTGGAAAATTTATATCTGTTTTATCAGTTTGTATAGGTGAAACTAGATCAATCAAAAGTGACTAGTCTGAAATTACGATACAGTTGTGATTTCAACCCAAAATAAGCGTAACGCATATCAATTGCATCGTTGTGAAAGATGATTTTTTTTTTCATCCTAATCTTATTATCAATATAAGATTGTACCCGAGACGTACCTCACTTATCTACTTAGTTCCAGCAGTTTTTATTTTCGATAATGAAACTTGCAGATCTTCTAGAAACATCTTTGTTCTTTTTTGCACACTTTTAAAGGATGAAAAAGGCGTGGTTCAATTTAAAATAATATCCTTTTCAGAAGCTGTGCAAAGTTTTTCGTTGCAAAGTTGTGAAATTTTGTATTTAAAATGTTGAAAAGCTTTTCATATCTTAAAAAATATTCTTTCATGTCAATCTGCCTTCGTTTTACTTTTTTCTTAATTTTAAGATATATTTATTTGTTTTAATTTATTAAATGATTTTGTTATTTGTTTCAATTAATTAAATTATTTTGTTATTATTTAATTATTTTGATAAATAATACTTCATGCATTTCTTAAATCGTAGTTTTTTAACATAATTTACAAAAAATTGATGTCATTCAAAATTGTTTAGTAATTTGCCGACTATCAACGATTGATTATTTAACAAATGTGAAATATTTCATAATAATTTTTGCACCGATGCTTTTTGTTGCGATGGTAATCATAATTGATACTTGATTAATAGTTATAATTTATGCGATTGATATGATTGATACGAAATGGTATCTTTCACACTGATAGCATATTATCAATCACTGTACAATTTATTATTGTTTAATCATTATGATTAAATGTCGATGTTATTCTTATATCAATCATAATTGTTAATCACGAATCAATTATGATTTAGCGTCATAACAGAACCAATGAAAAATTATTGTGCAGTAGAGACTGTTTACATCATTTTCAACAACTGTTGTTCCATTTGATAAAAGGACATGTATCATCTATCAAGCGCAATGAATAAATTGATAAATATCAATAGAATGTGAAAAGACGAATAAACCAAGGAAGTACTGAGATGATTGAACAAAGTTGTTAGATAAATTAGCAACGGAAGCATATCAGTAAATAAATTTTAATTTTTATAAATTAGCAACAGCAGGCATGAAAAGATATTATATTTCTTCCAGAACGATAAAGGAAATTTTTATTATTAAAATTAAAATTCAAACTAAATTTTCATTATTCATCCATTCAATCAATCAATCGATCAATCAATCAATCAATTATTATTGCAAATGAATGAATAATACTGGAGTAAAAAAATTCCGTTTTTCTTTACCACAAAAGTACAACCGGAAGTATATATTTCAATAATTTCCTTTCCTTTTTATTTTCAACTAAAAACGAAAAGCTGGAAAAATTGGAAGAGAGAGAGAGAGAGAGGGAGACAAAAACGATAAGGAAAATAAAAGAGAAGGATTGATAATCATTTCTTTAACTTTTACGACAAATTTTTAAGATAAATTTTTGCATTGTTTTTTTTTAGCATTGCCATTTTGTAAAAATATTTGGAAGCTTATTCCTCCATTTTGTTTTCGATCTTTCCATCTCTCCTCTTCTTATGACATTTTCTGATGACAATTTGTTAAATTAAAATCAAAACTTTTTCCATTTTTCTTTTTAACTTCATAGCAATACATGAACGAATAATTCTAGCAGATTTGTTTAGTTTTCAGATAGTATGCTTTTTGTTTAATTTTTTTTCGATAAATTTTATAGATGATGTAAAAGTTAATCATTAATTATTATAATTATTATTAGTTAAATCACTAGCTATTATCATTATCATTTAAGCTGTCAATTAATATCATCACTATTATTTAAATCATTAATTATTATTATTATTATTATTATTATTATTATCATTTTTTATAATCCTCAACAACATTTAATGATGACGATAATAATGAATATGTTAGCTAACGGCTAAATTATCGTGATTTATCATCATTTCATTATCTTTTGATTATCATTAGAAAAGCATGATAATAATTATAAATGTTTAATCTAAACACAAAATATGAAATCTATAATTGCATTTGATTAATACGAACAAATAGTCTATCGTATAAGCAATAATTAATTATAATTAAATTATTTAAACGGTAAATTTTAGCATTATCAACTATGATTTAATCAGAAATGAATTAAATAATAATTGATAATGCTTTTAAGATATGGAAGCTTTTTTTCCAATAATTTCATATATTTTATATTCGAACTCATAGAAAATTATTTCCACAATTATATTAAAAATTGTGAGAGTCAATAACACCTGAAGTAACAGGTGATAAGTATGATTAATAAATAAATAAATGAATATTTGACTAATTTATAGAGAAATATATCCAATAAAATTTTCATTAAAATAAAAAAATTTGAATAAATAAAGCTTAATATTATCAACGATAAAATTATGGTTATAAGATAGCTATAAGTTTAAAAGCTTAAAATTATCATATTTCTTCTTAATTAATTGAAATTTTAAAAAACGAATTTTTTTTTCTCCTCATTCTTCCATTTAAAGCAAGCACCGCTAACTGATGATTACATTTGGCTGGTTGTTGCTTGGCTGGCTGGTTGGTTGGTTGGATGGCTGGCTGGTTGGTTGGTTGAATGGTTGGCTGGTTGATTGGTTGGATGGTTGGCTGGTTGGTTGGTTGCTTGGCTGGTTGGTTGCTTGGCTGGTTGGTTGGTTGGTTGGTTGGTTGGCTGTTTGGTTGGTTGATGGATAGAAGAAGTAAAATGCTTTAACATTCGTTCCCCTTTTTTAGTTCTTCTGATTCAAGATGAAAAAGTGTGAAAAAATCCATTGGGAGTATCGAATAATATTTTCTTACTTCAAATAAAATTCAATCTTTTTCATTTACATTTCATTTCACAAAAAAGATTTCTGATATAAATAATTTCTCTTCGCAGCAATTCTAAAATTAAATTCGAAGAAAATTTAATTTTGCTATTTTGAAATTAGTTTAGTTTAATGTGAAGGAGAAATGAGAACGGAGAAATGAATGATTGAGAAAAAAAAGTGTTGAAAATAGGTGAGATTGTTGTTAAATGGTAAATCAATTATTGTTTGAAAGTTAATTAATTATTACTTTACTTTTTTCTTTTATTTATAAAATTTTTACAAATGTTCATTTTAAATAATTAACTTAAAATGTCATAATTTAAAATGATAAATGATTGAACTAATGAAACCATATGTCGAAAAATGTTAGCAATGAATAAGATTTTGCTTTCATTAATTTTTGTTCCATTTTTTTTTGTAATTTAACAATTATTTCATAATGAGACTTTTAATCATTTAGAATTAATTAGCTAACATGAATTAAATGATGTATTTATTAGTCGAGTACTAATATATACATCATTTAATTCTAAAGTTTGAGAAATTACTAAAGCATTTAATCCTAAAATTTAACAAAGAATTAGTTGAATAAGTTGAGAATTAATTAGCTAATATAAATTAAATGATGTATATTATATTAGTAAAATACTAATATATACATCATTTAAATCTAAAGTTTGAGAAATTCTAGAGCAGTTAGAGAAAGAACTAGTTAAGTAGCTTCATTAATGAGATATATTTTACAGGTAAGTGAAAAGAACGCAGGTAGTATTCCACGATGGATGTATATATGATGTCAATGTACATATAAAGTGGCGACAAACGTAAGCTCAATTAATCAGGTTACATTTGTCACGACAAATAATTAAATCATCCGTCATATGCTGCCTTTTTTTCATTTTTCAACGAAACCGAAAAAAAATGAAATTATTGGAAAACGATTCAGCCGTTTAATTGTTTTACATTTCATTGTTATCACGGAAAAATTTTTAACTTTACTTTTGTAATTTTTGACCTTTTCTACGAAATTACACTTTTGAAAAAAATTAATTATCCAAAAATTAAAAAATTGTAACGAAATGATTAATTAATTTATTCCTTTCGAATATAATTTTAAAAAACAGTTAAAACGGCTGATCTTTTCCTCACATTACCTATTATTTATCATTAGAAAAGAATGAATTTGCATTGAAAAAAAAAACCGCCCATTTAAATTGATTACCTACGAATTAAATTAAAATAATTTTTGAAATTTTTCATAATTACAAAAACAATCAAAAAAGTTCAATTATCATACAATTTTTATCATACGTTTAAAAATTTTTTGCTTTCAATGCTTGTTCATTTGCGAGAATTTCGATGATATAATTGATCAAAAGTTAATGAATCACAGGAAAAGCATAATTTTGATTAATGATAAATTTGATAATTTCAGCTATCGTAGTGTAGTACAAAAGCCTTTAAAATTTAAAACAAAAATTAACATTTGTCTAAAAATTCGGCAAACTTTGATAAAAATAAGTATTTATATATTATGATAAAAAGGTAACTTTTTAAAATCCTTACCTTTCCGATTAGTTCATCAATAAATTAGCATGCAACGAAATGAAATGTTCGAAATCAAATCTCTTTTCTTTCTCTCTCTCTCTATCTTCTCTCTCTTTACTCTCCCTCCTTCTATCATTCATACTCTTTCTCTATCTATAATTTCTTCTCTCCTTCACCCTCTAAAATTGAACTATTTTTAAAAAAAAAATACAGAATACAATTATATATGAAATATGAAATATTTATAACCTATGACGAATATGCTGAATTTATTATCATTTATTATTTCTGCCGAATATACTAAAATTGTTA